AGAGATAAGGTCTTGCTGCCCAGGCGGGTCTCGAACCTGCGGACTCAGACAATCCACTCACCTCAGCCTCCCAAAGGCGCGGGATTACAGGCTGAGCCACTGAGCCCGGCTAAATTTGAAAACTTTTAATGTAAATTGTACCTCAAAGAAAAACTACAAATATTTTATCTACTTAATAAAATACAAGCTGAAATATTTAACAGAAAATATGTTGTTGTCTGCAGTTGATTTTCATATGCATCAATAAGAATAGATTGATGGATGAATAGAGGGTAGAGAGATGGATACATGATGAAGTAAGTAGGGTAAAATCACAGACTCTAGGTGGTGGGTAAACTAGTTATCTCTATAAAGTTCTTTTAGCTTTGCTGTATGTTTGAAATTTTTCAAAGTAAAATGTCAATAAGACCAGGCATGGTAGCTCATACCTATAATCCTAGCATCTTGGGAAGCTGAGGTGGGAGGGTTGCTTGAGCCTAGGACTTTGAGACCAGCCTGGGCAATATAGTGAGACCTCATTGCTACCAAAAAAAGGTAAAAAAATTCATGGGACTTGGTGGTGCACATAGTCCCAGCTACTTAGGAGACTGAGGTGGAAGGACTGCCTAAGTCCCAGGAGGTTGAGGCTGCAGTGAGCCATGATCGTGCCACTGCACTCCAGTCCAGGCAACAGAGTGAGACCCTGATTCAAAGAAAAAAAAGCACTTGGTATAGAGGAAGCACCAGCCAATAATAGCAAAGAACCATGTTCAGCTGACGAGGGATTGACAGGTCAAATCACTGAATATAGTATATCTGTCAGATGAGAAGGAAACTGCTACCTTTCCCATAAACTTTCATCCCAAATCATACTTTACTTAATTAAAAAAAAATCTTTGACATCTTTATATAAAAATCAATTACTTTATTTTTACTACTTTCTACAGAAAAAAGTGATTAACAACATGTGATTCAGGTATAGTTAATAGAGGTGACATAAGGAGAGTGAATATTAGAACAGGATAGAAGATGAAAAACAAATATAATTTACTGTATGACAAATCTCTCTAGTTTTCTATTTACTGAATACTGCTAATGATGTGCTATTTAAAAAAAAGATCCAACTTCCTACACATTATCTAAAAGTTACTATTAACAAATTCAGTTTTAGTGCTGAAAATACTTCAATATGTCATGTCCAATGAGGCAATATTAACATTATCAGATGATTTTGTTTTATATAGCTCACACTCACATTATAAGTTCCTATATATAAACTATATATAGGAAATTGAACAAGACACTCAAATATATGTTGAACTCCTCAAGGTAGTTAACTTAGGAGGGTGAAACAACACTTTCTTGGCAAGAGAGCAGAGAGACAAGCAATGAGACCAGAGAGACAAAGGAGAGGAAAGTCACACTGGGGTGGTAAATGCTCCTGGTTATTAACTTCAGGCTTCAGAGTAATTGTTGGCTTTTTCTCACCTTTTATAGCTGGGTAAGACATTAAATACTGGCTAAATAGGTATTGATCAAGAAAGCCTAAAATATTTCTTATGCCTTCTGAATATACTCACAGTTTCTTTTCAAATAATTCACTTACTTGATTGTCATTTTCATTATCTTTGATAACCAAATACCTCAATAAATTTAATGAAGCCATAATCCTGTTAATTAAAAAAAAAAAGTTACTTTCATAGTTTTATATAATCAACAGCAATTTCAATGAACAAGTTAAAACTCTGGGTATATTTATATCGTTATAACTTATCATGCTTGTTTTCCATTTTTTTCTTTCTTTTTTTTTTTTTTGAGTCAGAGTCTCACTCCATCACCCAGGCTAGAGTGCAGTGGCATGCCCACAGCCACTGCAGTGTTGACCTGCTGGGCTCAGGTGATCCTTCCGCCTCAGCCTTCCAAGTAGCTGGAACTACAGGTGCCTGCTACCAAGCCTGGCTAATTTTTTGATTTATTGTAGAGATGAGGTCTTGCCAAGTTGCCCAGGCTGTTCTCGAACCCATGGGCTCAGGCAGTACCCTCACCTCGGCCTCCCAAAGTGCTAGGATTACAGGCTTGAGCCACTGTGCCTGGCCAAGAAGAGTTTTTAATAATTTTTTCCTACACATTATTGAATCACGGAAATTTGAAAAATCTTTATGTAATTATGAATTAGCCATAGATCATAAAGTCACAAGAAAAATACATTTTATTCATTTAGGTTCCTTAAGCAGATGTGTCAAAGTTTAGAAACGGTCAGCTCACCTGTCTGAGTTTTGCAGTAAATCTGTTTCGGCACCCTCTGGGAGACAGAGCACCAAATCTAGAAGGGAAACCAGCTGTGGTCCTGTAAACCATTTGCTGTTACATGTGCTCTGAGAAGCAAAAGAAAAATAGGGAACAGCTTTCTTTAAATCATAGTCTGATAAATCAGATGTTTTTTCTACTATCTTTATATTATAAATACATGACTGTACACTTAGATACATTTTTAAACTTTAATTTCCATACATTTATTCACTTCCCAGACACCTGGAACAAAATACCAGTTTGAGAAGACTGGTTCTGTTTCCTATATGGAATTACTAAGTATTCACAAACAAATTAAATTTAAGTTTCCATTAATTTTTCAGAAGTATAAAACAAGACAAAGAGAAGTCATATTATCAGTTCAAAGAATTAATACAATTTAAATTTACTGTTAACAAAATTTCCAAATTCAGAGTTAAAAAAAAATAGTAGAAATAGAGGGGGAAAAAAACCTTAATACTAGATTTAGAGCAAAAATCCACATTAATGTATTCCAAATATGAATAAATAAACTGATAATTGACACCTTGGCTATATCTTACCTTTAATGACATGTCGATTTGATTTTTGATATTTTGAATAATAAAGGCCTCTACACCTGAGTGATTACTTGTATTCAATAAGCACCTTGAAAGCAAAATTACAATAGATATGTAATTATCCTGAACTGCATTAGAATTAAGTGGTGATGAAAGTCTTACAAATTCAAATGAACTATGTGTTATTTCTAGGAATACAAAACCCACAGTAAAGACAGCTAGCAAGGTGATCACCAATGACAAAGTCATCTGTAATAGTTGTTCTACCAACTGGTAAATTCTATTTGTAACTGGATCTTTCTAAAAGAAATTTCAATTAAGCCAAATTTAAATCTTTTTATTTTTAGAGACAAGGTTTCACTTTGTCACTTAGGCTAGAGTTTAGTAGCATAATCATAGCTCACTGCAATCTTGAACTTCTGGGCTCAAGCCATCCTCCCATCTCAGCCTCCCAAGTAAGTAGCTGGGATGACAGGTGAGCCACCATGCCTGGCTAATTTTTTTGTAGAGACAGAGGTCTCACTATGTTGCTCAGGCTCTTCTCAAACTCAGGTCTCCAGTGATCATCTCACTTTGGCCTCTCAAAGTGGTAGGATTCTAGGCATGAACCACCATGCCTGGCCCAAATTTGAATCTTTATGCAAATAACTGCAATAATTTAACATGGCAAGAAAGGGCACTAAAAGAATCATCCAAAAACTCCAAAAATTATTCCCAGTGAAAGCAGACTAGTGCTTTCAGACTAGCTTAATTACAAAGAAAGGAAACTAAGTATGAATTCGCTTAGGAAAAAAGGGATTTCTTGGCAGAGACACAGAACAGAAGAAGAATTCTAGTATAAGACCTAAGAATTAAGATTTCATGACTATCAGCAGAAACAAAGATAGAATTAAAAGTGCTAATATTGATTGGCTGATTCCAAAGAAGACTCTTTAGCACTTTAACACCACTCAAGTCTGTTTTTAACTCATTTTTATTACCTAGAACAGGGGTCAACAAACTGAGGTCTGCAGGCCAAATCCAGGCTGCCATCCAATTTATAAGTAAAGTTTTTCGAAACACACTCACCTCCAACACAAAGTTGGGCGGTTGCATCAAAGACTATATAGCCCATAAAGCCTATATTTACTACTTGGCCCTTTACTGAAAGTTTGCCAGTTTTTAACTTACAGTGTTGCTGGAATCTTTTCCACCTCAAAGAGCACTGTTCATGAGCGCTACTATTAAGTTATCATGAATAGCCTGTTGAAGTTATAACTCCAGAGCCATTAATTTCAACTGTGAGTAATGGAGATTACTGACATATGTAAAGTACTAGTCGGATCATTATCAATCTCAGTTTGATCTTTCTACAGTTTATTTTAAGTGTAGGGTATTCCGATTAATTGAACTAAAATATATGCTAATATTCATATAATAATATATATATCCAAAATATTTGATTAGCCCCCTCATATCAAATCAAATCATTTGATTAACTTGATTTTTAATGCTAAAATTACTAAACACTTAGTAATTAACACGCTTGATACATACCTAAATAACGTATATTTGCCTTGTGAATCCAACTTGTTAATGTACAGTTGAAGCATAGCTAAACTCTTTTTCCTCTAAAATGGAACAAATATTATTACATAAAATGAATGAAGATTAAATTATTTATCAAATTTTCTCACTGTAACTCATTATTATTTAGTCCCAAAACATTTACATACCAATGTCTCAACGGGGCAAAGTGTCATTACTTTGACTAAGCCCTGGAAATAAAAAAATTTAAAATTCAGATTTTAAATTTAAAATTCAGATTTTTTAAAATTTAAAAAACAGATTATACTGACAGGAAACAACTATTATCAATAGTGAATACTAAAAATTCAGAGAAGTGAGGGTAGCAGATTTAAAAGTGAAGGAAATAAATTTTTCCCTGACCTTTTCATTCTACTGTTATGTCTACAGGAAGCTAACTACAATCAATTTTTTATGTGATACTGAGTGGAGTGTTACAAAGTACAATTTTTAAAATTCGTGATAATTTCCAATTATGTCTGGAGTGGCATGAAAATGAAATCAAACATGCAGAAATATAACCTATTCATTAAAAATAATCAAGCCTAATATACTAACAAAAACTGGTTTTTTTCCTATTTAAATATCGGAAAACCAGTTTCTACACTGACATTCAAGGACCTACTTGGAGATGACAAAAAGAAGTACTAGGCAGAATAAACCACAGGAGGGAAAAACAAAATGTGTCTTAGTCTTTGCAGTAATGAGCCAGTGCAGCCTTAGATGGAGTCCTGAGAACTTGAGTTGTGGGAAAAGTAAAGGAGCTTCGTTTTCTAAGAGCCCTACAGAAACAAAGTGTTAAAGAAGAAAGTTGTGCTTTTCCATAGATGCTAGGCTAGCAACTATGGTAGCCATTAATAGCTATTTTAGTTTAAATTAATTTAAATGGAATAAAATGGAACATTTAGTTCCTCAGACACAGTAGCCACATTTCAGATGTTCGATTCAACTAGTGTAGTGGCTTTTGAACTGTACAGCACAGCAAATAGAACTCTTCCATCATCAAAGAAGGTTGTGCTGGACAGCACTACACAGTTTCAAAGGATGGAGAGAATGAAGTGGGAGAGGAATCAGAAAAGACCTTTACCTTATTTGAGTTCAGAACAGGCAAGGGGCTGTTTTCAATATTAGAATATACATACTTTATTTACCTGAGGTACAGTAAGAAAACTCTTGATTTCTAAGTACCGGTGAAGTAGACTGTTGTCTTCTATTCTCAATAAACTATTCTCCAGCAGATCCTACAGATTAAAATATATGCAGATAGATACATGGTGAAGTCAACAGCTCTTTTTGTTGACATAACTAACTATGTATTTAAGTAATAAAGGAAGCAAACAAGTCTTACCAATCCTTTGGAGAAAACAGACTCTTCTGTTCTGGAAAAGAATATTAAAGTTTATCATAATTTTATAAACAATTTCAGAATTACTCTTTATCTTAGAAAAAATAAAGCAAACATGGAAATTTTAAGACTTTTTTTTTTTTTTTTTTTTT